CGGGACGTATTCCCCGATTGATCGTTTCGCGAGAGTTTAGCACGGGCAATACGAAAGTTTCGTATTCCTCCTGATGCTCTTACTTCTTCTTCTTCTTCTTCTTCTTCTTCTTCGCTTTCTTTTCTTTTTCTTTCTTTCACTCTCTTCTTCTTCGTCCGCCCTCTCAAATCTCGAAGGATACTTCCACGTCCATCTGTGTACCGGGGAATAAAGCTGGGCTTGTTTGCATGATTTTTGTGGAAAGCTTGGAATTTCTTATTCTCTTCTTCGCTTCAAACTTTCAAACCTTTCGTTCTGGCCAATTATAGTGAATTCTCTGCTTTTCCAATGTCTAACGTTTATGTGCGTCTTCCAATTGTTGTGAATTTTCTATCCTTGATTTTCTCTCCCTCGTTTGATGGATCCAGAGTAATCAGAAAATCGATGAAACGTTCGTTTATCTTGTTTCTTTTGGAATGTCTGTGTAGGTCGTCGAATAGACAAAGATTCCTCTTCTCTTTCTTTCATTAAATTTAATTTAAATTTACTTCTCAATTATAAACAGTCATTCTAAATTTCAATCAACTTCTCAATTACAGAATCACTCCGATACTATATCAGAGCACCAAAAATTAGAGGAATAGTAAAACACACATACACACACACACACACGCTACTAATCCATAAACAAGTTCATTCAGCAGTCAAAATTCGAAGTTCCTCACAATGTCAAATTATCCTATTCATTATCCTTATTCATTTATGTATTTCGCCTGACATTCATCTTCGTCAACAGAGGCTGATCGTTTCGTCGGCAAGTAGGGATATCAATTTTTTTCGCGACGTCGCCGATCTATTTCCTAGATTTATGGCCGCGCTCAGTGGGGAAAGTGAAGTCGTATGGAGAAGTAAAAAGTCAGATTACGTTCTTCTATCGCTTCTTCCATCTTCGACATCAGGGGGGGGGGGGAGAGAAATTACGTTTCATCATCGCGACCACGCGAGTCATCGTCCAATAAACGCTATCGCAGGTTGATTTATGTCCCCGAAATATTCAATCCGAACCGTCCAAAGCGCGGTAATGGCGCACCTGAATGCATAAATGCATTCCGTCTGATTGCTATGCTCCTAGACTGCCATTTCAACTCAACACTTTTCACTTTTCAAAGATTTCATTCGAACGTGTACACACGTCTCTCTCCTCGGCTACGTCGCTCTCGATTTCGCCTAATCTCAGAAGAACAAATCACTGTCAAATGGTGCCATTTGAATAAAATGGCGTCTCGTTTGCTCAGATCTGCAGATTTCTAAATAAATGTCTGCACGTACAAGATTAGCCATCGCTGCGTGGAAATTCAATGACCATTAGCTGTAATGTATGTCCCGTTATTATCCTCCATCATTTTTCATTTATTCATTGTAGGTCGCTAATGGCCCGTGATATAATGGGCACGTTGCAAGTGATAAATATGGCGCAGGTAATGACCTTATTATGCGTTCCACGACGATATGGTGACGTTTCCACGGTAAAAACATCGGCATAATAATTCACGTTCGAATGAAAACGCTGGCAGTCCCAATCTGAAAGCTTCTAAACGATTTCGAATCCTCGAATAAGAGCTACTTCGTTGCACTGAATGGAAGAGAGCCGGGGGAAGGTGGAGCTTTTAACAAGCAGACTTATATAACCAATTATCAAATAAAATTAAAAGTATAATTTCTTTACCCTTAAATTCAAACGTGAAAGGAGTTTCAAACAATTTCGAATCTCTTCGAATCCTCGAACCCAAACTGCACTGAACGAGGCAAGTTTTTATACCGAATTCAACGCGATTCAATGCAATTAAGAAATTCACGACAAATTAACAAGAAGAGTTAAAAGTATGATCTCTATTACCCTCTATTACTCTATATACCCTGAAATTCGATGTCGTGTGTCGAAGAAAAATAAACTAGTCAGTTTTGCATTTCCGGAATAACTATTTGATTCAAGAGTTGTAGCAAAAGGAGAAAAAAGAAAAGAAAGTTGCAGGGAAATAAACGAAAAAAAAAAAAAATGGTTTCTCGCGATAAAATCACCATGGGCATTTCGTCGTCAATTATCGGCTGTTTTTCGATCATGTTCTTCACACAGTTACCATTATCGTATATTTATCAGCAATCTCGCCGGCGAATTTTCGAACCAATCGTCGAGGAATCAACAAAAATTCGCGTGATCAAAAATTCACAGTTTCAAATGTTCCACGATAGAAAAACACGTGTTTCGCAAGGAGGAGGAGGAGGAGAGATCGAGAGAAAGAGAGAGAGAGAGAGATGGCAAAAAAACACCGGAAGAGGGAGAATCCGTGATATTACGAGCGACAACAACGCGATGCAACGCTCCGATTACAATATTTCTCGTTGGCGTTTAATGCAGTGGCACAAAAACAGAGACGGGCCGCTGTCCCGAGGCAGGACTGCGTCAATTTTCCCAATAAAAGCGTTCCCCGTGACCGCTCGCCTGCTTTATACACGCCTGGCAAGTTTATTAGCTCCGCGGGCAAACATTTCGAACGCTTTGGCTCGCGTTCCAACCCCCGGACTTAATATCGCGGCCACGATGAGGGGAGGAAAAAAAAAAGAGAAAAGAAAAAGAGTGGAAACTCCACGTTCCACGTTGATGCGCCACGATTCTTCTCACACGTTTCTCTCCCGCGGGGAGAAAGATTAGGCAACGCTAAATTTCACGCGACTGAGCTTACGCGCGAACGCGTGAGTAAAGTCAGTAGTAAGAGCGGGCTGGTTTTTGTTGTTGAAATTTTCGTCGACGGTGGTAATTTCTAATATTAAAAATTTACCGAAATTTATAATTTTGTCAAAATTTATAATTCTCTATGGAAATTTTTGTATATATTTACAACAGTGTATATTTTACTCGAGTGATTTTTGATAAAATATATTATATAATAGGTGCTTGTATTGTTCTTTATTGCATTACCGACTTTTTCTTGTACCTTGCGCTTTAATTTCTTTGCTGCAAATGTATTATACTCGAGTCGTCGGTAGTTCTAGTGTTAAAATGGAAAAATTATCGTGTCCATTTATATATATGTATATATAGTATATATAGTTATAATAACTAAAGTATAATATTAAAGGGCAAGGTACAAGAAAAAGTCAGTAATGCAATAAAGAATAATACAAGCTCCCATTGTAATATATTTTACTAAATATATATTATATTTTAACTTATATATTAATATGTATATAAAATTAAAGATCGATAATTTTATAAACAATAGCTTTTACAAAATATCAGTATATATATCACAATTATTTATAACTGATATAACTATTACAAATCGTCACAAGTAACAATAAGCAATAACAACCATTTTGTCATTGCCTATTGTTATTTGCAAGAATTATTTATAACAGTTTCTATAAAAATATCACAAAACATTTCCAGTTCCCCGTTCTTTTCTTCGTATAGATACGCGCGATGGTTCGTTCCGTTTTAATTCTCGTTCCGGTTTTCCTTTATTTTCTTTAAGCTGCAACGTTGCGGGACTATAATTCGAGAATAATCGAAACACATTCGCGGGCAAACGCAGCAAAAACCGAAAATAACTCGTTGCCAGGGTGAAAATATCATCGTCGAAAATTATTCGCGCGTTAATTTAACGCGGCTGTCCCGATGATTCGGATAATTGAAAGACTTTGAAGTGCCGTACGTTGAAATTTCATTTTCAAGTCACTTCTGCGGAACGTGAAATTTCGAAATGTCGAATGGTGGAAGCGTGTTGCGCGTTCGCGTGCCACGTTCTGCGTTTCAACGTAATTTGTACCAACAGATATTACAATGGCCGCCTTTGAAATGATGAACGCACCGCCTCGGTAACGGCAATTACCGGAAATATCGGCAGAAACAACGAGAAACTACTCCCCCCCTCCCCCCCCCTGGTTGCACTCGTTGACAATAAACTGGGAACGCGTTTCCTTCGAAACTCGGATTACGATTTAAGGCGGTATTCTAGTGTGAACTTTTGAAAAAAATCGATTTTTTTTTTTCTTCTTTGCATATTCTTAAAGGACATAGTTTCAGAAATAAATCTCTGTAACCTTACACGTGAACTCCTAAAATTAACGAAGTTATGGTTGTTTGAAGGACGCGACGAGAAGAAGTTTCGTTGAGAAGTATTGTTACCGCAATAAACTAAACTTTAAAGGCATTTTTCTGGAAACTTTGTTTTTCAGAACGGTGTCCATAATATCTCAAAATCCACTTGACCAATTGACTCAAAATTTCAAGTACACGTTTACTACATGTGCGACTATAGCCCCTACCAGAATCAACCAAAAAATTTTGTTTTTTATATTTTTTTTTTTTAGGGTTCTGAAGTTTAAAGAAAATATGCAAAAATCGATAGTCGAACTTCAAAGTATCGCCACTTTTTTAATTACCGACTTTTTACTTTTGTTTTGGTACCTGCTATAGCCAAACTCATACTAATTAAGGAACATTCACGTTTTTTTTATTTCCGACAAGCCGGAATCATGGACACCGTGAGACGACCCTTTTTAAAAGCGACTATGTTTGAGAGTATGCAGTGCCACTAATTTTAACTTTTTTTGTCCCAAAAAATTTGAAAACGTCGTTGAAATACGTACAAATAAATCTTGTCAATTTGATTGCAAAGGATATAATAGTTTCTTTGCAAAAAATTCTCTAACAAAGTTAAAAAAGACACGCACTTCACACATGAATACCCTCTTGATAGAAACGAGCGAAAACCTAGATCCAGTGGCGTTAGATAAACATCAAGAATTCTATTGATTCAAGTTACACAAGCACAAATGTACACGTTTGCGAAAAAAAGAAAAAAAGAAAATTCGAATCCCTTTCCAAATTTAAATTTCTCTTTCGAGGTCGGTAAACAGGTCAAATTTAGTTTCCCTGATCTCTCTCTCTGTCTCTCCCTCTCTCTGAGAGATTCTGGAAATTTTTATTATCGCTCTACTTCTCTCTCGTCTGCTTGCAGTTTCGACACGCGTGGCCGAAGCAACTTGGAACAAGGGAAACACTGGCAGGACATCAGCCTGGAAAAACGTGCCTTCTTCAGATACTCGGAGCAACCCGCGAAACTCGTCCTCGAGAACGTCCGTGAGAGCGACGCCGCCGTTTACAGATGCAGGGTCGATTTCAAGCAATCCCCGACCAGGAACAGCAAAGTCAATCTGACGGTGATCAGTAAGTGCTCGGCGGATCAGCATCTTCTTTCGCCTAGCGTTTCATCTCTATTCCCTCCCCCCTTTCGTTAAATTCATTCCCTTCTTTCGCTTTGTTATTCTTCAGACACGTGTAATTTTCTGGCATTGAGAATTTCCTACGTTACAAGTTTTCATTGGGTTGGCCAAAAAGTACTTACGTTTTTTTCTTTCTTTTTTCTTAATAGATGTGTGTATCTTGAAATATAACTAGTTTCGTTTTAAAAAAAATAAAGTGTATAATCTCTCGTTAACAACTGTTCGTATTCTGTTGCACTATCGCCGAGAAGGAGAAAAAAGACGCTGTGCAAACTCGTGAAAAATTATCTGTGCCTCAAATTCTGTCAGAATTGATTTGTTACATTTCACCACTGACAAGGATATCAAATCGTTCTTGAAACTGTTCGCTGTCGAGAAAGATAAGAATATTTTTCAACACCGAGTCGTGAAGTTGGCTGAAAAATAATCGAACAAAATGAATGACGAAATATATAATAAATATATTTATATTACAATATCACAAAAATTTTATTGAATATAAATAATGAAGCTTTTGTTTCTCGTGAGAAATTTGCTTTTCGTTTGCATGTAAAGAAACGCAATTACTTCTTGACCAACCAAACACATCATTGATCCAATTACTGATTATGTACTGTACCATATGAAATCTACGAAATGATTTTTCAAAATCATTTTCACATCTCCGTAATCACAAACGCCCAGAGCAGTCTCTTAAAAATATTTAAAAATTTATCTTCCACGACTCTGAGCCCGATTTTTCGAAAGGGATGATCTTTCCCATTACGAAATCTTTTCCCGTTTCATTTCACAGAATCCTTCTTTTACCGTAGCCAAACTCCACTTTTTTTTTTCTTCTCCATCTCCTCTTGACTAGATACGCATTTCGTCCGTCCCTTGTGCCTGTCCGTTTCATTCCCCATTAATCTTCCAGTTCTTCCGTTTCCTCTGCTTTGAGTCCCTGCATCCATTACTTCCTTTTGACACGATAATGCAATATCTTCCAGTCTTTGTCTTTGCTTACTTGTTTATTACGTCTCTTTTCTTCCCCCCCCCCCCCTCCCTTCACCCTTGTTCGTTTTGCGTAACCACCATCTCTCTCTCTCTCTCTCCCGCTATTAACTTTTACGTTTAACTTTCCATACTCATCCACCTTGACCATTCTTTTCCTTTTCTTCTATCGTTTCTTACTCACGAATCGTACTCGTGCGATTATTAAAATTTGATTTCTTCACAACCAAGAAATTCCTAAGAAACCCTCAAATCAAACCACTCAAAATCATTAAAAAATAATGTTAGAATTTAATTAAATAATATTAAAATAATATTAAAATTTAAAAATATTAAAATAATATTAAAAAACTTAATAATATTAAAATAATATTAAAAAATTTAATAATATTAAAATAATATTAAAGCTTAACAACAGCAGAAATGAAAGAAACAAAGAACCAACCAATAAGCTGTGATACTCAACAGACCTAATTACCTATTTTCATATTAAGTTATTTTTCTAATTCTCTAAATGTACATAGTCTTATATTACATACTCTTTAACGTCTCAAATATATATATATATATATGTAAATACAAGTTACACGCCGAGAACTTTTCCTCGTAAATTGCGAAATTTTTTTCTGTTTCAAGTATACTTAAATGTAATCCAGACAAAACAAATGAGTTTATTACTTCTTAATAAGTTTATTACTTCTTAATCATTTCTATCCAGCGATATCATACCGACGAGTTCAAAAGGAAACGAAAGCGACGAATTATTGTACACGGCTCGGTCACTCGTTATGGTCCGCGAACCAGTTGCCAGCGCAAGGGGTTAATACGAGGGAGGAGAAGTACATTTAGAAAATCGAAATATCGCACAGACGTGAAAGGAAAGTAAAAAAGGAGGGCAAAGTAGAGACATTCGTATCCCCGGTGATGCATCCTTGTTGCGCTTCCTCTCTTGATAAATCCCTAACTTTTCCTCTTATCCACTAACCCCCTCCCCCTCTTTCCTTCGTTCTTCCTCTTTCTTTCTTTCTACACTTTATCAATTACACGCTTCTCGTCAAGAACGATACATAAACTGCAGTTTTGTTTCTCTGCTTCTTCAATTTCCTTCGCGCGAAACTTTTATTCCCCGGCTCCTCTTTTATCCGGTGTTAGATGAAGCTAGTTTCATCTTCCCTCGCAGCTTCCTCTCGATATTAAAACTGTCTCGTTTTCCTCAAATACGAGATACAGATAGACAGACGTTTAGTCGATTAATTTTTCGAAATCTTTCCTCGCGTCGAATGTTTGCTTTGCGTTGTTATAATTTCGTGAAAAAGAAGATTATATAAAAATCGACTGTCAATGTGCTCGTTTCAAAGTGTAGAGCTTCTACTACGACTGCCCCAAGTTCGTTTCTTTCAAAGATACTTTTTGCATCATAGTGAGAAAGTACAATGGTACATTTGTCCTCGAAAATTGTAAAACTTCCAACATCTGTAGAAACATTAGAAAATTTTTTTTCCGTAACTCGATCTACAAACGATTTCGAAACTTGGAATTTTCTCTTTACAACGATCCCTTGAAACTTGTTATAAGATTTCCTTTGTAGTTTTATTGAACCTTGAAGATTAAGATGGGATTTTTGCTGTTCAGCTTCAATGTTCAAAATTCAACAAAATGAATGAAAAGAAAATCGTGCAGCAAGTTTCAAGGCTGTTGCAAATGGGAATCTTCAGTAATAGATTTAGTCATAAATAAAATATTTCACTGTATTTTCAGCTCGCGCGAGGATGTAGAAAAAAAATTCTTCTTTTACAGAAAAGAACGCTTTTCCATTCGCTACGTGGTGTAAAAAATATTCTCGAAGAAAAGAAACGAATTCAGAGCAGTGAAACCGAAAGCTTCGCGGTTTCAAAACGACGCTAAATAGATTGTCGTGCGATATTTTTTAACGAATTTATCACGATTTGCGAAGTATCGACGATTTTTCACTTAAATTAATCGCGATGCAAAACTGACTCTGAAAACAATTTATATTCGCCAGAATGGCGATGATAAAACAAGGTCATGAAATTTTTTTTTTTTTGGAAATTCAAAAAACGCTGCCGTATTTTGCCGTTATTTTCGTGTGTTAAACTCTCACGCGCAAATACTCGATGAAATGTTATTGTTAAAAATCCATTGTATGTGTTCAATTTTGCTTCGTTTGCTGTACACCGATCGTCAGAATCCCTCCCCCCACGAATTTATCGAATAATCTAATGCCTTCTTTCTCTTCTTTTATACATTTCTGCTCCTTTTTTTTTTTTAACCAACTACACGGTTCGTGAATTCATCCATCCTCTCCTCCTCCCTCCAACGCCCCTCTTCTCTGTCTTTGATCCCGATCGGAGTTGATCGAGATTCGCCAGACCGCTTTCCGCGATTAGCTCGAACAAACACAGAGAATGAATTCGGCCCTCTTGACCCGGATCTATAATACTATAATAGCAAGTTCAGCGAGCGACGATTAAGACGAGTCGTTTTATCTGAAAGTCGTCAAGGATCGATGGGGGAGAGGAGGAGAAGGAGGAGGAGGGAATGCGAAATTAGATTGGCGATTCTACGGCGCCCGCGCCGCTCGAAATCGCGGCTTCGATGTCGGCAATATCGATAAGTAGATCGGCGTACCCACGGATCCACTTGCCTCTTCTGAAAGAAGAACTCGTTCTCCTTCTGTTTCCCCTCCGGTTAATCGATAAGAAAATTCCACGATGATCGAGCTTCCCTTCCTCCTTTCTTTCTTTCTTTCTTCTTTTCTCTCGCCCGCCTCTCTTTCGTTAGATTTTCCTCGCTGATTTGATCCGGATGTAATCTCGGATAAGCACGGCGAATGATTTATCGGAAAAGCGGCGTTAGAAATCCAAGGGTTGAAGCGGCAGGTGAAAATGAAAATTTGGCGAGATCGAGGTGAAATCTATGGGAGAAACCGTTGCAGGTCGCGGATACATACAGATTGAGTGGAACATTCGAAGAAACATCAGAACATGATAGTTTCAATCGGACATAGATCAAAATAAAGTGTCAACGATCGTCGATAAACAATTTACTGTGTGAAGTTAATGCAAATCGAGGAAAGTTAAACAAAAGTATAGAGACTGAGTAGAAACTTGTGAACGTTTGAAGGAATATCGAAAATAATTCTAATCCGATGTAATTCAATTGTCAATCAATAATTTATACATGCGAGATTAATGCAAGTCGGGGAGAGTTAAAGAGAAATATACAGATTGAGTAGAAGCTCGTGGACATTTGAAGAAAACATCGAAATAATAATTTTAATAATCGAACATCGACATCGATCAATAATTTACATACGAAATGAATGAAAGTAATAATAAAATCAATTATATTTTAATATAATATAATAATAATATAATAATAGTATAATAGAATATATTAATATAATAATAATATAATGGAATATAATAATATAATAATAATATAATGAAATATAATAATAGTATAATAATAATATAATGGAAGATAATAATATAATAATAATATAATAGAATATAATAATAGTATAATAATAATATAATAGAATATAACAATAGTATAATAATAATATAATGGAATATAATAATAATATAATATATATTATAATAATATAATAATAATATAATATAATGTATATTATATTATATAATAATATAACACAATATATTCTAATCACGTTACGAATTTACCTGAACAAACTTCCACTTGTAAAACACACACCCCCTCGACCCCCTATCAGTATTTGTAAAATCTGCCATAAAATAATTTCCATATTGCACGATTTTCACCGCGCCACAGGGAGAGCTTGCGCTCCCATGGACCGCGTCAGATAGGAAAGTTAAAGTTCGCGGACGGTCCATGGTGTCTGCCGCCGGATGACACAGGTCAGTAATTCATTGGCTTGCAAATTGATTCGCCCTGCGGCGCGGCGAACGAGCGAAGAGAGAGAGTTCCTCGTTTCTTCGTCGTCGCGGCTTCTCGACGTTCGAGAAGTTCGCCCTCGCGACGAAAACGGAAGTGACGAGGTCTGTCGCGTAGAAAAACACGCCAGGCGAAGGCTAGATGAACTCACCGCGCGAAATTATTACAGTACCGCCGGAGCAGCTTAGCATATTGGACAACGACGGAAGATCTCATATATCCTATTACGTGCTTGGCCCGTTCAGCGAGGGTGCCTCTCTGAATATTACCTGCGTCGCTGCTGGTGGTAAGTACTAGCTTTACTCTCTGTCTCTCTTCTTCTTCTTCTTCTTCTTCTTCTTCTTCTTCTTCTTCTTCTTCTTCTTTGCCGGTTGCCTCCGCGTCTCACCTTGCCCGATCGACGTCACTCTTCCTCTAGCTTCTCGAACGGAAGAGAAATGATCCACGCGACCATATTTCAGATCGTAATTTCCTCAACAGCGCAGCCGGAGAAAAATGTCAAAGAATATTTTTCCCCAACAGTTTGATTTTCGAGGAGTTTTACCGTGAAACTGTAAACGTGATTGCTGATCGACTCGGCTGCGAGAATTGAAACGCTCGAGCACGAGAGAGATGAAAAATTAATGAAAAGATGGATGAGCAACCATCTTTCAGATGCTCGATTGGTTCGCCGGTGGTTCTTCGAGATGAACGAATTTCAAAATTTGAGAAAACGATATGACGACGATGCGAATGTAGTACACGGTAGTTTTCATTGAATTAAACAGCGTGTTTTTCTTCGTTAGTCTCTCTTTCGAAAGTAAAGCAAGGAGACGTAGGAAAAGGAACGTAGGTAGGCAGGGGAGCGGCATTTTTTTTCATATGCAAATTCGAATGAACGTAAAGTTAGCACCTTGAAATGAGCAGCTAATAAATTCCACGCTGAAACAGTCGGCCAGAGAATGGTGAAGGACGGTGCGTGGAAAGTGGCAGAGACGGGAAAAATTTCAAGAATCTTTGAGGGTAAACTTACGGCGCGTTTATAAATTTTTTAACCCGGTGGATGTAATTGCTTCTCGCTTAACGCATTCACTTTGTATAATACGTCTCGAAAAAAGAAGCAAAACAAAAGCACGGTGAATACAGAGATGAAAATGCGAAAACGAAACGCTGAAACGTACGTATGAAACTGAATTTTGAAAGAATTACTTTTCGAAAGCTCGCGGTATTCTTAATAATTCGCAGATTGATTCTCGTAACTTTTAATCAAACGTAAAATCTTTCTAAATTCTCCGTTAAGTTTGAAACAAACAATTTCCTTGAAACTTACTGAACGGTTGAACAGTCAAGTTCAAGGAACAAATCGGTTTCCAAGAATGCCGACACGCGTTTCCAATATTCGTGGAAGCGAGAAATTTTTGACAAATTTGACCCGACACATTTTGACAAATTTCTAACGATTCTGACGAACAAACATGTCGAAACAATTTCGACAAAACGCGGAAAAGCCACGCGGGCTTTCCAGCCTTATTGGAGGCTCGCAGTCCAATTTCTATTTGCAATTTCGATATTTTTTATCACGATCCGTTTTGCGTTCGCGCACGCAACGTGATCGACGCTTCATCTCGATGTAACACTGACATCGACCCGCGCGCGTGAAAATTTCCATCAAACAGAAGTTGATCGCTTCGGGGGGAGAGAAGTATGATTAAAATGAAAATTTAATAGTGCCGGATACCGATAAAAAGAAGAAGCACACGGCTCTGTATCATATTACGCTCGTCACTTTTTACGAATATATTTCGCCGTACATACTGGGTGGTCCGTCTGACTTCGCTATTGACGAAAAGTTGCGAAACTGAATTTACTACGTGACTTCAAGAAAATGATGCTGTCTTTCCAATTTAATTTGAGGGAAAAAAATATATTAATTTTCCAGTTAATTTGAGACTCTTTTTTTATTTTACGACGTGAGAAGAAAATCACCGTACTTTTCTACGAAAATTTTGCAAATATTAATAAAAATTATAATAAAATTATAATAAAAGTATAATAAATATTAATAAAATTTTGTAAATATAGTTTTAAATAAATTTCGATAAAAAAGATTAGACGCTAGATGCTCTTGATTTTCATAAAAGAAAAAGCAATACTTTCTTTCAAACGAATGAAAAAGTGTTGAATTCTTTATATCTCCATACGTGAACACTGCAGGTATGAATTTCATATTCTCAAGTATGACACCCGATATTTTTTTGTTGTAAACGATATATAGTAATAATTTAACGTTGCTAAAAGTAGATGAATCACCCTATATATGTACGTGAGCAAGCGCATGTATGTACGTCCATCTCGTCGTGTCTTCTCTATCTGCGCACCTAGCCTCTCTGAGATGGCAGACATACTTTTGCAGCACAAAGATCTATAAAGAGACGCGAAAGGGGAGAAAAGAAAGTCGTAGGACGTTGATCAAAGTAGAGATTATAAGATAGCGCGCTGGCGAACAAGAAAAAGAAAGATTTACACTGGAAGGTGGTACACACAGCGAGCGAAAAAACCATTTATTAACTCGTTGTCTCGCGAGCTTTTTTTAATGGCCACATTTGACGAAGTGTGCCGTTTAGCTGCATTATGAACCTCTTTTAAAATATGATAGCTCTTTAGACGGACGACGTATGTATGTAAGTCTGAAGTCCTGCGGAATTGTAAAATTCTATAATAAATAATTTAGCAACAATTCGAGACGTCGATGTAACTTTCTCGAGAGTGATCTAACTATAATACGTACAGTTGATTGATATACGGTTAATTGAAACCTCTTACATTATTCTATGCAGCAGCAATTATTAATTTTTGCTGTTACTCGAGTTAAATAACACACCGGTCGGTCTCTTGTTGTATTCATGGCCAATTTGCATTGCAGAAAAGATGCGAGATAGGAAATATCGAAACAGACAGAAGCCGAGTCTAACTATGTCTAACTACTCCAAGTTGCCTGACTATCTATGGAGTTGTACCACTCAAAGGCATTCTACTTCGGTGGAAGCGTTAGACTCTGACATGGAAACCATTCTATTGTACTTCTAACCACCTTTCACGGTAGAATTAATTTGCGTCGGACTTGTTAATTTGTTGAACTTTTGGTACAATAGTGAAATGTCTCGATGTAAGACCGCGCGAGTAGTATAAGACTAGCTTCGTCAGACTTATATTATACGACTGCAATAACCAAATTATATTTTCATTAATTTCAAACCATTAGTAGCCATATATGTGAAATTTCTTATCGGTCAACACCCTTCCGAGATATCTTTCGAAAATTTTTAATCACTTGCGCTGGCAACCGATTGCGGACCATAACGAGTGACCAAACCCGTACACAACAATTCGTCGGTTTCTTTTCATCGGTACGATATCACCGGATAGAAATTATTGAGAAGAATTATTGAGATTTATATAATAAATTTATTATTCGTTTTGCCTGTGTTATACTTAAATATACTTGAAACTGAGAAAATATTGCAATTTTGGGGCACAAAGTTCTCGACGTGCGTGGCAAGAGGTTAATAAAAATGAATAAAAGTAATTTATTACATCCTCGTTATTCTTATCTACTGCCTCTGAAACGTCTTGGGTTTCTGGAAAAATTTCAAACGCAACTCGAGTAATATGATAATCAGGGAGTACGTAAGTGATTTGAGCAGGAGCCAGATATTTTCAATTCAGATGGATAACCAGACTACGCGGATAAAGGAATATTCTTCGACGAAAGGAGCTCTGTGATGAATTTGGCTCGATCATGTACTGTACTAACAATTCTATACGCAGTGTTCTACATACGCGGCGAGAGATTTGCCAGAATATCCCGAATCCGAATATGCTCGTGAATTCGAAAAATTTGTCAATTTTCTAACATTGATGTGCACTGATCGACTGCATAGATTGAAGGAAAACGTAGGAAAACAGTGACGTTACAAATATTATTCTCTAATTGTAAATTAACTATTAGAATTAAAAATTTACTTTACACAATTTATTTCACTTTTGAACAAATTTACAGAAGCAAGTCATTTCGTTTCTTTCGAGAATAACGAGATTAAGGTGACCCGATTTTATTGTGTAGCGTTACAGAATATCAGTTTGTACCAAACAGCTCGTTAGTCGTTTTCTAACATCAAAACACACACGTCGTGCCCGATAATTTACCAGACCACGTGCATACCAGTTCTGTGCATCAAAAGGCGTGCCTAGCACGCCAGGACGACGTTCACACGTCGACGACGTTAAACGTGCCGCAAACCGCATCCCAGTGGCTCCTCGGGAATTCCCTCGCGTTTATTATTATTTGCGAGAAGGTATTTATTTATAGGAGATTGCAAACAGAGCAGCTTGCCGAGCCATAACCCGAAGTGTCTGCTGCCATTTCGCCAGTGAAATGTTATGGCGCGCCGCAAAATATTTTGTCGACTGCCATTTTCCACCGTGAAATTACCATTTTACGTTCAGCCTTCCCTGGCTTTATCCTACACCGCTCGTGTACTCGAGTACACGAAAATCAGAAATTGGAAATTACTTTACCACTTGGACTGAAAAATCGGTGACTTTTCAGTACAGTTGCAGAATGTGTTTTCTTTTAAAGCTGAATTGTTTTGGAGATCGTGGGAAAACATTTGAAACTTCTTTCTTAATAGTCGTCGATCTCTCCTTTATTAAAAAGTTACGAAACTGAATTTACGTAACTTCAAAAAAATCACACTGTGATTGTTGTTCTTCCAATGTTAATCTGAAAATTCTTTTGACTTTGCGACGTGAGAAGAAAATTTTGTAAATGTGTAATTTTAAATAAATTTCGATTAAAAAGAAATTAGTAGTAACACTAGTCGATGCTTTTGATTTTCATTAAAAAAAAAATACTTCTTTTAAAGCTGAATTTTTTGGAGATCGTAGAAGAACATTTGAAACTTCTTTCTTAACAGTTATCGATCTCTCTTTTGTAACTTTACAATTACACGCCGAATAGATGATCAATTGACTCATAAACTTTCATTTGATCTGTCAAATTCGAATTACTCGATCTCATTGCTGTTATAAAAGAGAATTGTCCATGAGTTTATAAGAAGAACAAATTTCATTAGCCGAAAGAGAACTCGTCGAATAATGACAAGTGGCGTTATTCACGTTCGATAATGGAAATGTCATTACTGCGTCGAACGAAATCCTCACGGTGAGTCGTAAAAAATGTTGAACCACCAATATCCACCGGCCAATCGAGCAAATCTCGAAAGATTGAATGCGTTATGAAGCGCAAGCCTGGCGCACAATGTTTCACCGGAACGTTATTAAACCGCATTGGGAACGCATCGTTTCCCACTAATAGTTCACGCAAATATTTTCACCCGACGTGGAAACACGTCGATAGCGTTGCATCGGTATCGTTCTTCGCGCATCGCGTCGTTTAATCATCTTCGCGGCCGTGTCCCACGTGCCTTTTTCCATTCCGTTCGTTCCGCTATCGCTTGATTGGACCAACATGCGTAAACAAACGCCAAACAAAAACAAGAAGGGAGGGGGAGGAAAAAAACGAAAAACGGAAGTAAAATACATAGAGGTGCGATGGAAGATCCGGTGATCCGTGGTCGAACACGGGGAAAATATCGGACGCGAGAAATTTGAAATTCCTATTTTCAACGCGCGACTGTTGATCTCCCCCTTTAAATATTTGTATCACTCTCCCTTGTGGGGGAGAGCGATATATTTTTTTTAACTGTTACGAGCAGTAACAGCAAACGAACCGTTGGTTCAGCAAAAGTCGTAAGTTCATGAAGGAACTTTGGATGATCGACAGTTGGATTTGAAGAAACTTTCATCGAAATTCAAAGCTCGTAATTCTCAACAGAGCTAGAAGTCAATCGTGAAATTTTCCATGTTGACGCGTTCAGAGGAAAGTAAACGCAGGTGTGAAAATACAGGGTGGACCACAAAATTATTTCCTATTATTATTATTATTATTATTTTTCTTATATTTTAAATATATATATTTTGATATTTTGACCATTATATATTATATTTATATAATATTATTTATTATTATATTAATTAATTCTTATATAAATATAATGTATTATTATTATTTTTCTTATATTTTGAATATATATATATATATATATATATATATATATATATATATATATATATATATTGATATTTTGATCATTATATATTATATTTATATAATATTATTTATTATTATATTAATTAATTCTTACACAAATATAATATATTTATATAAGATTATTACACATTATACTTTTATATTTTAATATATATTATATCATGTTCCACTAAAAAAAAAAAATTGATAGGAAGAAACTTTTGGCCCACCCTGCACTTAATTTCAAAATCACGCATACACATTCGAATAGGACGATTTGTCGATAGTATTAAAAACAGCGATGATAAAGATTTTTCTTACTAAACACTGTTGTGTCGTTCCCTGCAACTGACGGAACATCACGTTTCCGAATCTTACTGAACAATTCTTTACCAATTCGTTCTTCCGTACGAGAGATTCACAATATCTTGCAGATAACGAAATATCCCGTAAAAATTCTTTTTACCGAGAACCACGTTACGCGAATTTCGCCTATCATCCTTTATGTATCCAAGTAACATCGATCGCTGGAACATGCGCGTATCAGGAAACTGATTCGTTTCGAGCCACAGCTGCGGGCGAAACGTAACGAAACGTCAATTCCCCGAAAGAGAGAAGGGAGGAAACTAAGAGAAACACGAAGGAGGAAGATAAGAAGCGAAACAATGCGCGGAATTTCTCTTGAATTCTTCTCTTGTACGTGTACGAGGAATCGACGAGAATCTATCGAGGTGAAGCGAGGCATAAACGAAAGTGCCGCTCGCGAACGTCGTTCATTCTGTTTCGTTTTCGAACACAGGTCGGCCACAGCCACGGGTGACTTGGTGGCAGGAGAATGCTCTTCTGGACGACACCTACGAAACCGTTGGTACCAAGAGGGTACAGAACGTGTTGCGATTAGAGAAGTTGGGCCGCGAGCATCTCGGCGCCATTTTGACCTGTCAGGCTTCCAACAACAACATGGTCACTCCAATATCCAGCTCTGTTACACTCAACATGAACCGTAAGTACAATAATGCTACATAGTGCTTTCGACACTAATGAGAAGAAATTGATCGTTGTGAAACGAAAAATAATTGCAAGGATGAAACGAAAAAATGTCGGAATTACGTGTGACAATTTTTATAGCAATAAAAGGAAAAAAATTGCCTCTACTCTTCTAAATTGTATTAATATCTTCCAATGATATAATTTCTTGGTAAAATTTTAGCTTCGGAGAACAGAAAATCAAATCGATTGATTAAATCTGAAACCACTCGCCGATCCGATGAAATATTACTATCTAAAAAACGTTACTACGATCTATAGTAAAATTAAATAATACACTCGCGTCAGTATATACGTACAATAACACACACGCTATTCGTGGTACCGAGAACAGAGTTCAAACAAGAACCGCAAAATCTATGGACACACGTCGTGTCCACACAAATCTAAGCCCAGAAAATAGAAAACAGGAACGAAAAATCCGCAACGCTTATTACGCCAAAGCAAACACCGTTTCGAGCGAAAGCTTATTTCGTCGGTAGAACCGTTCTCCGGTTCAAAACAAAAAAACAAAAAAAAAAAAAAGAGAGAGGAAGGAGACTCGTGTTTAAACAGCTCTTAATAAAACCGAGATTCGATCCTGGCTCTCCGTCAGAAGGCAAATGTTTAACAAATAATTGAACGACGAGGGAGGTCTGCTAAAACCGTGTTCAACAGCGGTGGAAGCTTTCGCAAAACGGTATCCATTAACCGGCTCGAACCAGTTTGAAATGATTACTCAAACACTCGGGCACGGTTCCATAAACGCGTCGGGGGGGATCTTGCCTGCGATTGATAGTTCTTTCGAGCAGAGAGGGCTTAATGGATGGTGCGCGTGTTTCAGTGAGGCCGCTGTGGGTCCGCATGCAAGGAGAGAACCGGCCGTTTAGCGCGGGCACCACGTACGAGATCAGTTGCGAGGTAGTGGGTGCAAGGCCGACGCCGAAAATCACGTGGTCGAAAGGAAGTATGATACTGAGGAATGCCAGACAGACGGTAAGGCCAACAGATTTCTCATGTAGCGCAATGAAGTGACACGAGGCAAACACTCAGGAAATAGCAGCGGTGAAAAGTACACAAGCCACAAAATACAACACATTTCTGCTCTGTCTTGTTCATTTTTATCTTTCGAGCGAGATTTTCGAAAAGCTCGCATTATCTTTCTCTTCGAGGAAAATTCCCATTCTACCATTTTCGCACGGGAGAGAAGATCGCCGAAAAACTTTCGGCCGAGGGATTCAATTACGAAGCTACCGTACGAAAAAAAGAAGATTGTATGTATCTCCCGTGGTTGAAGAACCACGTCGTAATATATCTCTCTCGCTCTGCGGAGATCTGTTCCGTGGCCAATATTTTGCAAGCGGCCGCGCAATTTCACCACGGAAAAGCAATCACGCTAAGTCTCTAGCCTCTTCTCTCTCTCTCTCTCTCTCTCTCTCGCTGTCTCTCTCTATCTAACACGAACACACTCTCTGTTTCTCTGTCACTCTCCTTTCCGTGGTCTCTCGTTCACCCCTGAGGTTCGACGTCAGCGTCGACTCGCCGTGAATCCAGCCGTGTGGCCAGCGTTTGTTTTTTCTAGCGTGGATATATAGCGCGGCCAGATCAGGCGGACCGGTTTCGGTAAACTGTTTTAAATTCATGAAAGTCTATCCCGCAGATGAGCCCCGACACCAACGTCACCACCAGCGTTCTCACGTTTGTGCCGAGTATCGAGGACGCCGGCAAGTTCCTCTCCTGCCACGGCAGCGTCCCGGATATCCCGGATTCCGAGATGGAAGACGGATGGAAACTCGACATACATCGTGAGTACAGTTTTCACTGAAATTTCATACGGACGATTTTGAAGGGGCAGGAGGTGACTATATCATCTGCCCTCCTGCGACTTCTTAAGTGATCTCTTTTTGTGACGTAGAAAACAAAATGTGACGAGAATACTTTGGTTGTAACTATAATTTCGTCATGCGAAATGCAACACCCTTTCTTTATCCCCTTAGAATTTTATTTGCATCGTATTGCAAACAACCCGTTTGAAATCCAAAAATCAACCGTAGCGTCTATAAAAACTATACTGCTCACAAAAATTAGGGGATATTTCAAAATGAGTGTGAGGAATATAAGCATTTGATTTTTTTTTTCTATTAAACAGAAACATCAGAAAAGCAAACAAGTCGAATGTCTGATGTTTAATAAAAAGGAATCAAATGCTTCCTTTTTTTTATCGCTTCATGTTCATTTTAAAATAGTCCCCAATTTTTGTGAGCAGTATAGTTTTTATAGACGTGTGCTTGAGTTTGAAACGGGTTGTTTTCTGTTTGAATACGATGCAAATAGAATCCCCCTTTTAAAGGGATAAGAATGTGCGTTGCATTTTATGCATCGTGAGTATAGTTTTCACTGAAATTTCAGGAGGAGGGGGAATAACGATGACGATATCTTCTTACGCGACAAGTGGTCTTTCTTTGTGACATAGAAAACAAGAAAATAATGAGAATATTTTAGTTGCAACTATACTGCTCACAAAGATTATGGGATATTTCAAAATGAATATGATAAAAAAGAAAAGAAAACGACAAGTCAAATGTCTAATATTCTTGTTTAATAAAAAAAATATCAAATGCTTCTTTTTTTTTTATCGCTTCATGTTCATTTTGTAATACCCCGCCCCCCAATTTTTGTGAGCAGTATAGTTTTTATAGACGCGTGCCACGGTTGTTTTTGGATTATTTTCTGTTTGACTACGATGCAAATAAAATCCCCTTGTAAGGGTGCTGCGTTTCGCATGACGAAAGTTGAAATTGCATAAAACGAGGAACCAAAAAGAGCCAAATTCACTATCGCGAAAGTTTTTCAATCTTGGTTGTAAGATGACGATACGTCAATCGCTACGAAGCAGTTCACATTCAGACTGTAACGACATAAAGCAACGCTATAGTTACAAACGAAGACTAATCACGATCTTTCAAGACGCCAGAGAGATCTACATCACAGCAGTGGCAAATGCAACGAAACCAAAGTGGAAAAAAAGAAGCGAGCGTTGATTGAGAGAGGAAGTCTCGTGTAGGAACGAAACGAAAGGAAGAGACGAGGGAAATTTGTCAACGCTGTCGAGATTGCGCGCGCGGCTAAAAGGATTCCAGACCAGGAGCAGGCTTGGAAATCTGTCTGATTGGTTTGCCTGACGGTGAAAAATTTGGAAGTGCTCTCTCTCTCTCTCTCTCTCTCTCTCTCTCTCTTTCTCTCTCGGTTCTCTCGCGATTGTCTTGACGGACGGCCGTGCACCGATGTCCAATAAAAATGAAATACGATCGATGAACGATTTATCGCGTCGCCACGTCGAATCGCGATTTAATTCGCGTAATCGACAGGGCATGCCTTTCCCGAAGTTTGTCTCCATGGCCGACGCGTCGTCGCAGGCATCCATTTCTCCGCTCAACTTTCCCCCAATACGGGGATTTATTCGGATTAATTAAAAATTTTAATTAATTCTTTCGAGGCTTCGCGAACCACCGCAGGCGGAAAGTTCGACCTCGACCTCAGTCCAGGGAACTCGAATCCGTGAGCAGTATGCAAGCAGAGTAGCACGATAGGGAAACGTGAGGTCCTTTGAAAATTATTATAACTTTAGGAAACTGATGGCAGAGGAGACTGCGTGTGTGTGCGTTTCATGGTCGAGAAATGGGAAAAATTTGATTCGTTGTTGCGCGTAGTCAAAACACAATGGAACGACTTCAACGACGTCTGTGATTTCGGTGATCGAAAATTGAAACTCTCTTATGAGAGATAATTGAGAAATCTCGAAAACTGCCAGTATTCAGATTTAGAAATTCGAGAATTGAAATTTCGAACTTCGGTCGTTCAAATTTTTCCCTCCGAGTAAACAGACGACGCTTTTTCTTGTAAAAAAAAAAAAAGTAGCAGATGGAATATCTGCAGGACTTTCGGAGAGTCTTCTCGTCATTCTCACTGACGACAATGCCATTGTTTCACTATCCACGGTGCCCACCGAAAAAGTGCCCCGAATCTTAAGCAGCGAGATTGGCACGATCGATGCACTTCCTCGCACTCGTCGGTTCTTCCGTTTCTCTCTCTCTCTCTCTCTCTTTCTTTTTTTTTCTTTTTAAACGTTTCTTTCGCTCGTACAGCCCTGCTCTGCATCGAATAGTCATCCTTCTGTAAATTTCCGCTCCACTAACACCCTCGCCACTTAAGAACCTGACGACAGCACGCTATTTCCCCGATGTGCAATCTTACAGTGGAACAAGCTTCTTGGCAGCCAACCAGAACACACTATAAACTATACGCAAACGCTCCGACCAGAAGCACACCGATGCCAAATATTTAAAAGAATATTTCCAATGTACCATCCTCCCGGCCATTTATTCCCTTCCTCTTCTACCGTTCGATCTGCGAATAATATTCGAACAACGAACAATCCGCGAGATCTTCCCGGAATGAGATTCGACGGAGGTAAATATTAACATCCACCGATTCGGCGAATATTTTTAATTTTCCCTCGTCGCGGGGAGAGCTGAATGAAAAACAGAGAACTCGCAAATCGAATTTTAATAGGAGGGAGGGGAAAAAATCATTTCGCTTCTCAGAAAATCGTGGCAAACACGAGATTTAATTAAACCACGGTGACTCGGGATTTACGGAATTTTCTGGAGATCTGTCGATCGGCAGGGTTGTTCAAACGGAAAAACGAATCGAATATATATCGCTCGAGTCGGTGGAAATCATTACTAAAATTCAACGTTGAACGCATCGCGCGACGATGAAAAGAAAAACGAGATTTTGGTAATTGCGGGGAACAGGGTACACCTCACCGATTTTGATGAAATTTAACCGCCGCTCGGACTTAGTTTCCGAGATATTTGCGAAAAACTGTTGCTACTACTACAATTGTACGTGTTTGTGGCAGCGTGTGTGTAAGCGTTGAGTCGTTTATGGTTTTTATAAATAAAAAACTTAACTCGAATCTTACTTAAGGGGGGCAAAACAGTGTGACGGGTCTAAAAATTACGTATACTTTGGAGAGCTAGTAAAAAAAAAACTATATATTTGATTGACTATAAAAGCAACATTAAAAGAGAAAAAAGAGGGCTCTTATTTAACTTTTTAACGGCATCCTTTTTTTCATAACTTTTTTTTCACATTGCCTATCGGTGTGCATGATTCCAGCCAAACAGGATTAGTTGCAACAAAAAGGAAAAAAAATTCAAAAGTAAACAATATTCTCTAGGGATTGACGAGCCAACTTTTTCATTTTTGTGAAAATTATGAAACTGACAGCTATGTGTTTTTGATGTATCGAATTTATGCCAAAAGTTTCTACGTTTTTTTGTTTATGTTTTTCGAAATTGTTAAAAATTAAAAAATGTTTGATCGTCGACCCCTAGTAAATGTTACGCTGAAGATACGCATCAAGTTTCACGGTAATCGGTTGGTTAGATTCCGAGATATCTTGCACACCGTTTCTAAAAACCTAGTTTCAAGAGAAACGCGTTTAAAGTTTCAGAATGTCATTTTTCACATGTATCCTTTACTTACTTTTTTTACTTATATATATATATATATATATATCGCGGCTCACAATTCTTACAATTCGCAACTAAATTGAATCCAAGTCCCCTAATATTCGATTCACAAAAAAGTAATATTTGAATCACACGACTTACACTTTATAATACTGCTTAAACAGTGATACAAATTCAATTATTCTGTATTTATTATTATACCCCAAAATAAGTCGTTTTAAAGGCTAGGACCTTTTGTATCTTATTTCTAAGACTTCAAGACTACTGTTTAAAACAGAACAAAAAAAAAAAATCGATTTTTTGGAAATTTCAGACTGTCCTGACCCCTTAAATACACCCGTTATACGCGTCCATTGCCACCTCGATCTATCTATAGAAACCATAAACAATCGGCGCTGCCGCAGACACGAAGCTACAGGCAATATTCATTACAGTAGTAGGAATAGTTTCTTGCAAAACTCTCGAAAACTCGAAGTCCGAGCGGTGGTTATACATATGTATAGGAAAAAGTTGTTCGAAATTTTCATCCTGATTTAAATTTCATCAAAAGGGGGGGGTGTGCCCTTTTATGCACAATTGCCCGAGATTTTTAATAATTCTTCGGCTGAAACTCTCGTGCTTCCTTATTTTCCTTCTCAACCCTCCGAGCACGCTCCGTGAACTGGAGTTTCAGCGTCGTCTCAAAGGCCGTCGAAAACGGCGCTCGCCTATCGAAATTAAAAGCCGCGTGCATCGTTGGCGCGAGAGAGGGGGTTTGGAGAACTTATTTATCCGCCGGGATCCTGTCGAGTCGAGACCGCCTATTGGCTTCACGCTCCATCTCTCGCTCTGCCGCTATTAGCAAGAAATCCGTTGCTCCCTCGTGGCCGTTTCTCGTTCGATATCATCCCTCCGTCGTTGAAACACGAAAAGCAAGAGCCAACGAGCGAACAAGCGAACGAAGAAAAAAGCAAAGTTAAGGGAAGAAAAGAACGGGAATAAGAAGTAAGAGGGACGGGGAGGGATGAAGGGAGAGTGAGAAAGATCCCGTGAAAGAGAGCAGCCGCGGATATCGATTCACGATGTTCGCCAGCCGGTCCTTCTTGCTTATGATTTCACTCGACCTCGGAACTCGAGTAATACGAGTCCACCGAACAAATCCGATAATTCCGCTGCGAGATTCGTGCCTGCAATAACGACTGAATTTTTTTTCTTCACTTCTACCGTCGCCGTGTTTCCTGTTCTGCTCGATGAAATTATCGAAATAGGAAAAGAGTGATTATCGATGGGAAAAGAGGAGAGAAAAGGCACGACGATGGATTTCGGTAGGTAAATGAAAGAGAAAAAAATAGATGAAGGAAAACACAACCACGGAGATGTAAACGTGTGAACGTTTCGTTTGCCATTTTTGACAACCAAAATTTAGGTTATTTGGACATTTTTGCGTAACAATATTAACAACGTAACAATATTACTTTTCTTTTTTTAATTTTGCGAATTTGTAAGTTAGTAAAATTTCATTTACCAACTAAGTAAATTTCATTTACTTGCGATTCGTAACATGGTGACTCGTGCACAAAATTTCACTGATGTATAAAATTTTTTTCTTCAATGGAAATATTAATAATACTGGTGATTATGAACTTTCTAATTTTACAAATTAGTAAAATTAAAATTTGATCTTTAGTGACTTGTGCACAAAATTTCACTGATGTGTAGAATTTCTTCTTCAATGGAAATATTAACAATACTGGTGATTATGAACTTTCTAATTTTACAAATTAGTAAAATTTGATCTTTACTCGTAATTCGTAAATTAGTAAAATTTCATTTATACTTGCGATTCGTAACATAGTGACTCGTGCACAAAATTTCACTGATGTATAAAATTTTTTTCTTCAATGGAAATATTAACAATACTGGTGATTATGAACTTTCTAATTTTACAAATTAGTAAAATTTGATCTTTACTCGTAATTCGTAAATTAGTAAAATTTCATTTATACTTGCGATTCGTAACATAGTGACTCGTGCACAAAATTTCACTGATGTATAAAATTTCTTCTTCAGTGGAAATATTAACAATACTGGTGATTGTGTTTACAAATTAGTAAAATTTGATCTTTACTCGTAATTCGTAACATAGTGACTTGTAAAATTTCACCAGTGTGTAAAATTTCTTTTTCCCTTAACAATACCAGTGATGGTGAATTTTTCTTTTCTAATTTTACAACTTTGTAAATTAATATAAATTTAATCTGTATTTGTAACTCGTAGCTTGCGACTTTGTAAAATTTCTTTTCCAACAGAGATTGTCATTAACTTGCAAATAACTATGAACTTGTACCTTGTCGAGAAAGTATCGACGTATCGATGGCAGAGGAACATCCACCGAGAAGTGTGCTGTTGTTGAGAAAACATTGTGCGATGAAGCAGGGAAACATCGGTCCAGTTTGATTTAGCTTTCTGATCACCAAGAGATCGCCCGAAGGTTGAAGCCGGGGAAGGATTAACAAGGAAAATTGATTGTTGTCAGAGCGAGCAATATTGCATTAGACGCAAGTGGAAATTTAACTTGCTTGTGTTCAAAATCGCGAACAGTAATCGCTGTTTGCTCTATAAACACGGTTTATTATATAAGCGTGTGTAATAGTTGTTTATCTTATAAACCATGCCAGACACTGACTAATAAAGTACCCATCAACTTGAGGGAAAACATATTCCATTTCGTTGATTTCGTGAATTAATAATACTAAAAACGTTTCCTCGTGATAATGTATACGATTGACGATCGCAATTCTTACAACTAAGGCTTTTAATATTGCAATCCATGAATCATTTTTATAATACTTTTATTCAAGTGTCTTTATTAATTAGATTACTTTCGTTTACAAAAATTAGGATAATTTTTATTAATGTACTGTTATTAGAATATTCTCATTACAGATTACAATCCCCATTTTCTCATATTTATTACATTATACAGGGCGAGCCAAAAATCACTTCCTACTAAAAATAAATTCGTAATTTCCTTATTATATACTCTTTTTAAATTTCTTTACCCTCTGGCGGTCAACATTTGGAAGAAAGAATTTTTAAAACATAATGAAAAGATCAAATGTTCGAACTTAAATTTAATTTAAAATTCATGAAATTAGGTTTTTCCTGATATATTGACATTTCGTTAATAAAAAAAATAGGCGAGAGGAAACTTTCGGCCCACCCTGTATATAGAATTCAACGCCACATTTGGCTCTTGGCCAAACATTTTAATTGAAGGTACTTTTTCTACAAAAATAATACAATAATAATATTTCCTTCCTAATGATTTATGCGCCCATCATGAGTCTCTAACATCGACCATATCCTTAACCACGAATCATTTTCACTTATTTATAATCCAACTCGCCAAACTCCACGCGCAAACAAAACAATCGCTTCCTCTCCCTCTCCCTTCTCCTACCTTCTTATCTATCACTCCAACTACGTACTTACTTGCACCGCGCCCAAAGCGCAAAACGCGCTCGCGCGTTGGGTGCAGTTCTCCTGTAGCAAAACACCGTTACCGATTTCTTACACAACGACGCGGTTGAAACTTTCAGACGAGCCGGTGGTTATGCTCGAGCTCGGGAGTAATCTCAACTTGAGCGCAATCCGCGAGGGTATCGACGTTTATTTCGAGTGCAACATCAAGTCGAATCCGTGGGTCTACAAGGTCTCCTGGCGACACAACGTAAGTTCAAACCAAACCGCAATCGCATCTTCTGGTTTACTTAGATGTTAGATTTATATCGTCCATTAAATTGACGACCTCCTTTTTTTTTAAGGGGTGAGAGATTCTTTCTTAAAGTGACCAAAAATTTTTTATAATAATATATTATATATATTATAAAATTAAAAATTATATTATATATTTGCATAATATATCTATATATAAAAATTATATTATATATTTACATAAATATTATATTATATATAATAAAAAGTATATTATATTATATAAGTATATTTATATTATATAAATATTATACAATATATAAAAATTATGTTATACATTTGTATAACATAATTTTATATTATATTATATATAAAAAGTATATTATATATTTATATTATATAAATATTATACTATACATAAAAATTATATTATATATTTATATTATATAAATATTATACCATATATAAAAATTATATTATATATTTATATAAATATTATACTATATATAAAAATTATATTATATATTTATATAAATATTATATTCTATATAAAAAATATATTCTATAAATATTATATAATATATATAAAAATTATATTATATATTTGTATAAACATTACATTATATATATTTTAATTTCTTTTAAATTGAAAAATCTGACAACCACACGATTGCAGCAAAGAGATTCGATCCCCGAAATTAATTTTCAAATCGATTAAATAACCTTAAATTCACTTCAGTTTCATTCCCCCGACAAAATCGTGATCGCGATCTTTTTTACTTATGTGAAGTGCAAAGACGATAGAACGTTTGCCAACAATTGGATAATCCAGCGCGGCAGTTCCAGAATCGATAATTTAGAAGCAACCGCTGAAGCTTAATCGAGAAACGTGATAAGGGGGCGGAGAGTGGCGCAGCTGTGACGCGAAGTTTCCGTTTAAAATTTACATGCTGATACGGGCCGACCGGGCACCAGCGTGTAAGCGTTCTTTGAACTAATAGCCAACGTTCCGCATCGATAAGAAATTTATCGGCGAGAGCTCCTCCGTGAACCGTTGACGTAACCCTAAGCGCTCCAGGCGTCTCCTTTAAATAGGATGAAGTCTGACGGGGATCATCGTTAACAGGAAGCTCGCGCAAAAGGAGAGAGGAAGGAGTCGCGCGCCGATTTCTCTCTCTTTGAGGTTTACTCTAGGCAATAGGTGTTCTCGGTTTAAATTAATAGACCAAGTTTCCGCGGGAGAAGCATTTGAAATTTCGCGCGTCACGCTAACTTTCAAGATCATACGGGATGCAAGAAGCGACACCAGTCTGTCTTTTGGCGGGATATTTGAAACGACGCACTGTCTGTTAGAACTGTTATTGTAAAAGTTTTGCGAACAATCGTACAATTTTATTATTTTAACGGTATAATGATCGAGCCGACTCTTGACTTTCGTTCCTCACACAAGTGCTTAAAAGATCACGGAAGATATTCTTGTCGAAAGTTAATATCAATTTGAACAGAAGCTCAATCTATTTATTTTAATTGTCGTTTAAGTCGAAATGATTTGTACATAGAATATATTTTGATACGATTTTTTTCTAAATAGATAGATAGATATTTCCATTTGTTTGTTTATATTAATATTTTTGGCATTGGGAAACGATGATTGTGTTATGAGATAACAGTGACATAGATCAAAGAAAGAAACAACAGTTACTAACGAAAAAATAATTGAAAAAGAAAGGATAACAATTACTAATAGAAAGAATAGAATAATAATAATAACAACTTAAACAAAATTCTTTCAAAATTACAACAAGTCTGCTCTCAATTATTTCTTGAGTGATGCTATTTTGTTAATTAATATCACGAGTAATTGCGCGTTTGGAACTAACGAGTGTCATTAGTACTTTACTCGCCAATTATTCTATTCGAGTAAAATGGGAGAATCAACAGAAACAGAAACGTGGCCGTGGCTTTCGTTTCAAAGCAAAATTTACTACACAAATTTGTTACGCATAACGCGTAGAACGTACAAACTCTCTATACAAACTCTCTCGCTACCTTACCTTAACTAATTACAAATATAAATCTCCGTGAACTAAATAAACATTGTGCATACATCAACTAATAACCCATAATTTATCCATCTACTACTTTGCATTAATTATCTTGCTTAGACAGAAATTTCCGTTGATTAATTACAAATACGCAAATTTCCACAAATGTGGAAATAAACCATACGAAATTAATCCAATAACTCGTTGCTCGACACGCACGACACGATTACGCCGGTAACGATCAGTAAATTTGACAAGAATGACTGATCGTAGTGACAAAAACAAGAATGACAATGACAATATCAAAATTACAGGATCGATCCTTTAATTGTTGAATTAATCAAATTATTTAATTCATTATTTACCGAAATTTCGTACGTGACGAAATTGACACTACCACGTAAATATAATGTCGATAATTATTCCAACTCCCGCGAACGAATGAAATGATCAAGGTTGCTCGAAGTCAGTATGTTGTTATTGTTGTTTGTGATCGATCCGATGAACCAACGATGTGAGACGTGATTGCTATCGAGCTGTAGCAATCACGGCGCGAGATTTGTTTAATGATTAGTTGCACCAACGAGCAGGTATCCTATTCAATATTAATCTGTTTGATATTGACGCGTTCAAACTACCGCGGATTACCGACTGGTTACGTGGATCTGTGGATGTTTCATTCGTCTCATCAGCAAAATCAGAAAAATCTCCCATTTGTTAATATGCTCGCTCGAAAGGAAAGAACAAAGGAGGGAAAAAGAAAGAGGTAGGGACGTAAATATTCCTTGGTTTTTTACCCCTTCACGCTCCGTTTTACACAACGTCGTTATTAATTCCGTTTGCGTTTTACCAAAGCGAACAGTATTCTGACAGTTCTTACGCTATTCTTATGTTCTCCTCCCCTGTTCTTTAACGCGCTTTTTACCTTCCATAGCTCCATTTCTCCCCAATAAGAGAATCGTACATATTTTGCATTACTGCGTTTCATCTAGAATACTTTAAAGCCCCGAGATGTGTAACTTTGCTTATCTCTATCCGGCAGATGATCGTAGAACAATTTCAAAGTGCAAAGGATAATTCCGACAAGAAAAGGTGATACTCCTTTTTTTATTAACACGGCTCGGAGGAATTTCAATATCGGCTTCAGAATTAATTTTAATTTCAGAGCAAAGTTACTTTATATAAAATCCGAACTGATTACGTCTCGTCAGGTACAACTAATTTAATCATTATATCTTATTTTTAAAAATTAAAAAAAATTTTTTTTAATAATTATATATATATAATTTTACAAATTTAATAATAATAATAGTAATAATTTTTTTTTAAATTAATAAATTATAAAATTTTTTCTATTAATAATTAATACTAAAATCACAATTTAAAAAGTAAAATTATAACATTATATAAATAAATTTGTAGTTTAGCCCATAAATTTTTTACATAATAAAATTAATTAAATAGTAATATTTAATTAATTATTATTATATATAAATTAAATTTATTTGAAAAAAACTAGATATTATTATAAATATATATTTATTTTTTTATTTTACAAAAAAATAATATATACATATATTTAGATCATTTATTTTCGAGATAATTAAAATTATTAAAATAAATTGATTACCCCTGATACAAAAGATACAAAATAAATTTTATTTATTTATTTTTAAAAAAATTCATTTTCATTTTTAATTATTTTTATTATAAAACTTTATTAAATTATATTTTAAATTATATATATATATATATATATAAATTTATATTGGAAGGTGACTTTAACAAATAAATATCGTAACGAGAACTTGCGTAAAATCTACAATTTGATCCACTTTCTCACTTTGAACGTCTGGCGCAAAGTTCCAACGATATTCTCGATAGAAAGTCGAAATTCTCTCCGATAGAAAAGTCACCCGGAGTAATTCCGTGCGGAACGATCACGATCTCTCTGTCCGATCGACAGGGTAAAGATTTATTTTAAACGAACGCAGGCTCCTTTTGTTCCGCTACATTGCACCGAGTTCCATAAATATTTCTTCGCGCTCCTCTGGATCATAATGTGATTGTACGGGTGACATCTGCCGTCTTCATCGACTCTTCATTCCGCTCGAGAACGAAAGATCTTCGCTGAACGACGTCGATAGAAATTCTGTATTTCGGTAAAAGTTCAAAGAAGAAAAGACATCGTTGGCATCGTTGAGAAATTGAAAATCTGTCAGCATTCTTCGCCTGGTTTCTTTTCCCACTTTTCTTCCTTTATTCGTGCGATTTTTAATTTTCTTTTTTCCTTTTCTTTCGTCGAGAAAAAAATTTATCCACGAAACGATTGCTATCGATCGACAAGTCGCGTATCAAGTCTATGAGACCATTTATCATCAAGAACGCTTCGAAATTACCTTGCGCCCTCTCTTGAATTGAGCTGGACAAATGCATACGAAGATTTTACGGTGCAAAAATGTGATAAGTCTCGCACACATGTGTCTGATGTAAATATGATAAAACTTCAGAGAAGAATAAGGAAAAGGTTATCCATAAGTTAGCAATTAGAATGCTACAATAAGAGCAATCTCAACGATTCATCGTCAAAAAATTATGTGTTCATATTTTTATATATATATCAATTTTCATACATATTGATGTATTATACATTTATATCTATATTTATATATTTATATCTACATATTATCTATATTTATATATTTATATCTATATATTATCTATATTTATATATTTATATCTATATATATTATATATAAACATAAATATTTATAAATATATATAATATAATATAATACAATATATACAAATATAAATATATATATATATAAACAATATAGAAAAATATATTAAAAATATATTAAATATACAATATAGAAAAATATATTAAAATATATTAACTATACAATATAGAAAAATATATATTATATAGTCATCACGACATTTTATTTCCACAGGGCAATCCATTGTATCACAACCCAGCGACGGGTACTATAATCAGTAATCAGAGCTTAGTATTGCAAAGCGTGACTCGAAGCAGAGCTGGGATTTACACGTGTATCGGTAGCAATCAAGAAGGCGACGGAGAGAGCAATCCGCTGAATTTGGACATCAAATGTGAGTATATTGGCTATTCATCTTGGTGGTTTTAGCTATTGTAAGGCACGTGGCCAGAGATATTACATCTTGCTCGTCCAAGATCGAAATATTGCATGGAATTTGTAATCTAATTCGATCGATGGTATTGTAACGTGTACTATACATAATATATACAACGTACATATAGAGTGATCCACGTAACTTTCACAGCTTTTTAAAACAACTTTTAAACTACGCATCCAATGGAAAAGTTGTATAGTTTTAAGGGAGACAAAATATAGCGTGTCAATTTTTTTTTTGTGTGCTGGGGAGTTTCAAAATTTTCAAGGTCGTCTTTATTTTCCTTTTTTGTTTTTTAATTGGACCATATATTTCTCTCATCATAGACAGAAAGAATATTAAATTGCAAGTAAAAGAGTATTAAGTCACATTGGTCCTCAAGCTAATGATTAAGGGGATATTTTACGATAATTTGTGTCGAGGACGAAAACTATAGTAGCGTAGTTCCGCCAGAGGATTCGACAATGTTAGAAAATATATTGTTCACGAACGATACAACATTTACCAATCATGGTAATGTCGATTTACGGAATTATTGAGTACCCAACGTCCATGGAATATTAATGTGTGATGGCATAGTCGGAAATCGTATAATTAGTCCAATTTTATTGATGGACGATTAACGAGACGAAAATATGCAGAGTTTCTATGTAAATATGCAGAATATATTGTGTAACAGTATGTTAATTTTAACTTGAAGAGTAAGTTTATGGAAATGTAGAAGCTCCGTAGAAGCGTTTCACTGTTCGGTCTTCCGGATGGCGTCTCGTAAAGAGGCAGAGAAAAAGCGGCGATAACGAAAGACCGTTGAAAGAAGTTTCAATTTTTCAAAATCTTACCGAGAACAACATTCGTTGGCAACTTTCGTTTCATTAAAAGTTTGCATCACGACGTCACCGGCAGACATTACCGGCGGACTCGATCTTCGGCAAAAAAAAATTTAATTAAACTGGGAGGAAAATTTTTACAAAGGATACGCGAGGCAATTACGACGTGAAAAAATCAAGAAAGACTTGGACAACATTTCTCTTTTCAAGCGACAATCGACAATTTTTAAAAACTTGAATCGCTTAAATAGCAGTTGTATCATAATTTCTGCAAAATGTCTGTCGTTAGAAAAATATATTAAAATATATTAAATATACAATGTAGAAAAATACATTCAGACATGTTAAATATATAATATAGAAAAATATATTAAAATATATTAAATATACAATATAAAAAATATATTAAAATATATTAAACATACAATATAAAAAATATATTAAGATATATACAATATAGAAAAATATATTAAAATATATTAAGTACACAATATAGAAAAATACATAAAAGTATATAATATAGAAAAATACATTAAAATACATTGAATATACAGTATATAAAACTTTAATTAAAATATGTTAAATGTACAAGAATACGATATATGAAATATCGAGTATTCAAATGGTAATTATCAATTAAACGATGATAAATCAATTAACAATAAATGAGTTGATAAAATCAAATGATAAACAAGCTGTGCAAATTCGAATAGCCTCGAGCACAAGTGAAAACCACATTGAAACACAACGTTCGCAAATGCTGCTGAAACGAAATCCAAAGAGGTGAACAAGGCATTCGGATAACGCATCAGAACCCAGAATCTGTTATTTCCGGCTCGTTGTAGAAATATTTAGAAAGTACGATTCTCGCTGGCTTCTGTGAGGTTGTATTATGTACGAAGCCGAGGAACGGATTGTTACGATTCCAGCTTTGTGGATTTATACCGATTCGGATGAAGAGAGAACTGAATTGTAAGACGGAGATGAAGAGAGATGTTGGTATACCGAGTGCCGTTGGCCACTAAAAGCGTTCAAGGAAACCGACTTGTAACAACCGTGCTTTTACCGCGTAATGAAACGTTTAACGAGGAACGCGTATAAAGCTGAAATCCAACGTCAATCGTGGTCAGTAATACAATGCAACGTTGCTTTGCAAAGCGATATAACCTCATTTTTGCGTTTAACAAGTCTATGCGATACGCATTCTGCGTTCCTCCCAACCTCCCCCCCCCCCTCCCTCCGTCCCTCGTTTTCATCTTGTATATTAAATACACGGGGTATAATTCAACCTTGTAATATCGTTTTCACGAGCACGCCAGTAATGGTCGTTAATTTCGCTTTGCGCGAATAAAACGTTCTTTTCTGTTTTTTTTTTTTTTTTTTTTTCATTGGAAATTAATTAGCTCCGTCGTGAAACCTGAACGATAACAAACCAAGAAAGAAATTCTTGTAAGATCTTGTCGAACAAACGTCGAGACACATACGTAGAAATTAATAAGGGTAGCGCTTCGCGAAGATTTAAACTGACTTGACAAAAGAGAGTAACGCCAGTGTGTAAAATTAAATCGCTGGATAGGGGATGTAAGAGAGATAAAATGGGACAGAATGTGTGGTAATAGGAAGGAGAGGAACTCTGACAATGATGAAGCAATACGGAAAAGCTGAAAGATATACCAGCGATGAAAAGGTACAAGAAGAAATGATGTTTCCACCGGTGGAAATAGACTTGGAAGAGATTTCAAGGTGTCTTCCAAAATGAAGCAAACTTCATTCAACTTTTAGACTTTCTTAGGCGATATATGCATAAAATTGAGGAACGGCAGCTTTAGATGGAATGATATCGAAATTGAAATTGACGATGCAAAAATAGAAGAAGCAACAAGTAAAATTTTATTATTTATGAATACATGTGTACATCTTTTCAATTACCATCGACCAACTCTCTCTCTTCCACTTCCTGTACGATTTTCTGAACCTGGTATCGCGAAAGTAAATATAGAAAATTTAATTCGAAATTTTACCTTTAATTTACTTTAACGAACACTCTCGCCAATTTGTCGCGTAATTGGTCAATTTATTCATTACGTTATTGTACGATTAATCAAATTAACCACGAATTTATTCCACAGTGTGCAGTTTGCTTTATGACGCGTACAATGCGTTGTTAAAAACTTCATCGTAGCTGAAATTATAAATTTATGAGAGCAGGAAAAATATAAGGGTGAGAGATTTTTTTAAGACCAGGAAGACGCTCTTTGGCTTCAATGGCGATCTGTTTTTGAAAATCAAAAAGCCAGACGTTCGAGAGAATTTTCTGTGTCGAAAGTTTTTCGATGACACAGTCCGCGCACGGGAAAATAGACGAAAGTACACACTTTCTCTGATTTCAACTGCGTCGACTAAGATTTTATCACATCCACTCCAAGCGATCGAATCATGGCGGTCCAATCCAACGTCGATTCTGCTTTCAATTTACAGCACTCCAATTTCAAATTCTCCCTCTCTCCAACGTGAACGTAGAAGTCTGCCATTCGGCAACGAACTTCGAGAAGAAAGTCAAGATACGTTAATTCGCCGCGTTTCGTCCACGTTTATTTCGTTCATTTCATTTCATTCCGACAAACATCTCACGTTTGTCTTCATCCGATTTATTTTACTGTGACTTCGACCATTTTTCGATCTGGTATCTCGAGGTTTGAAATTTCTGACAATTTTTGACGCAACACGGAATTTTCTCGACTTTGCAAAATTGTTCAGGCGCAACATCGATCTTGTTGTCCATTTACGAGGTCGAAACTTCACTCCTTGCACCGGGGTTCTCTTGAACCCGCAGAAAATTTAGCAAATTGCGGAAGGAACGTTGAGATATTTATCCTAATTTCACTCGTGCCAACTTCGGTCTCGTCGTGTCCACTTCGTACACCGAACCGTCTTGTCTTCATCTGCCTTGAATTTACTTTAAACTTACTTTGTTCGAACTTCGTTCCGGAAGCGAGCTTCCACGGGGATATTCAACGTTTCATCAAATTCCAGTGTAGCTACTATCAATCATATCAAGTGAAATTTGAAAATATGTTTAACAGTCTTGAACGCGAGAAAAGTTCATCAAAATCTTGTCGAATTATCCTACTTTCAACATTACAGAAGCATTTTTGAAAATATTCTCTCCAATGAATTCAATTCAGCCCAGTCAGCTGTTATTACATTGACAAAAAAAAAAAGTTCTGACATTTCGCTACAATGTGATTTAAAGATTTCCACAAATCCCACGAACAGTTCAATAGTATAATAACTTTCCACTTTGTATCGAACATTCTCTTTCTCCGTCTTCTTGAAACGACTTTCTTCGCAAGTCCTATAAAATTCTCAGTCACTCTTAGATGGAGGTTGAAAAGATTAATTTCCTGGCAAATATTCTCTCTCATACTCTGAATGCAACTTCTTTTAACCTCTTGCGCTGAAATGACGTGTCACGCACGTCGAGAACTTTTTGTTCCAAAATTGTAATATTTTCTCAGTTTTATGTACATTTAAGTAAAACAAAATAGGCGGAACAAGTAATAAATTTATTACTTCTTAATAATTTCTATCCAATGATATCATATCGACGAGTTCAAAAAGAAAGCGACGAATCATTTTATACGGTTTGGTCACTCGTTATGGTCCGCAATCAGCTGCCAGCGCAAGCGGTCAATCTGAGCAAGAATTGAAAAATTCAATCTCGCACAAAATTCATGATCAAATTATACGATACGATATACAATTTATATATATACACACAGTTATACGATACAACGTACGATTTCCGTTCTCCCCAAAAAAAGAAGAAAGAAAAAGAAGGTGCAAAAGCAGCGGAATCGATCCAACACCTTCCATTGTCTATCCTCCCTTGCCCACCAACAAGCACAACCTCAAATCCCAAAAAGTACTCTATCCTCGAGTCACAGCCGCTAAATCACGCGGACCGCAAAATCTCGCGACACCATACCGAGCTCCATGAAACGAGGCATCCCACGTCGAGCATCCCATTCTCCTCCATCACGGAGCGCGCGGATCCTCCGGACGCTTCCGGGGTCCTGGGCTATCGGGAGGCCACGTGGCACACACGCGCATAATTCCGCACGATCCATCCTGCGTTCCAACCCAGAACGGTGTGTGTGTGCGTG